CCATGGCAAGTAGTGTCTAAGTACTCTAACCTCAAAATGATCTAAATTGTTTCGATTGGGGCGTAACACATTTACAGCCATTAAGAACTTATCGACCAATTCCAAAGGCAGCTAATCTATGTTGTTCCTTGGTAATCAAAGCAAGCCAGTACCATTCCAGCAATCGTTCAAAGGAATCCTGTTCTCTTTAGAAGTCGCACTGTGTATACCCAATGTGGCAAGGGCAAACATGAACAACATTAACTCTCTCTGTGCCAAGCGCAGATATATTAGCGCATTCCCATAAACCGTTAGACCACATGCTGCTAATTCGTGACATAAAACAGTTAATACTATTTTTTTTTCAATAGGTGCCCCAGGATAAACGAGAAGAATACCTCCATGGGGAAGGAAGGGAGTAATTGTGATATTGGGGTTCAGAGAAGGAGGCCGACAGAGGGCAGGCTGGGGTCAGATTGTTAGTTGAAGAAAGCCTTGGTTCCAGATACATGGCTATTTGAACGCTGTATTTATTACTATAACGGAAAGTGAACGTAAATGGTTATTGTTAAATTATATGAAAAAAGCAGAATGCAAGGCAAGAAATAAAATGCAGTTAACGCTGTTTATGATGTCATAAGAGAAGGGGCAAAGATCGCACGTGTTCAACAGTTTGAATATTCAGGATAAGAAAGGAAAATGCTATATTGATTTAAAGGTATATCAAATGCTAAATGTAGGACAAACATAAAACAAACAATCGAAAAAACTTAAGAAGGTTTCAATAAAAATGTGTCCAATCCTGAAAAAAATCCGTCTCAATTTCTACCATGCCAATGTACAAGTTCTAAAAGGCAAACCCTTGGTCAACCTTCTACACTGGACAATTTAAAAAGGCAGTATCAGAAGAGAAGAGAGGTAAATGAATGGTGGTCTCTTCGGAGACTTAAAAAAAGAAGCTCACTTGGGAATGCAAGGAAGATGAAAGAATCCCAGTTGGGAGGCTCGCTGATAAAAAACTATCAGGAAAAGACAAATATCATAAAACAGTTTCTTGGACTTAACAATTAACAAAACGGCATTGAACACCTTGCTTCCACGAGTAAAAGGAAGTAAAAGGAGGCATGGGTTATCAAGAACACTTTCCTTGGAAGCCTTCAACAGATGCGTGACGGGGAAAAGCAAGGGTAATAATATATAATGTTAAGATATGATTAGTGAACTAAGATTGTCGATGTTATTGCAGATGTGCACTGAATGAGGGTCATTATTCTTTTTTTTAAGCTAATACCGTCAACAATGAAAAAAATGTATTTAGTTCAAATCTTACGTACTTGTCTTACTTGCCCACTGTGTTGGGGTCACTGAACATGTCTATCACTGC